ACTTCGCGTACTACTACTTTCGTACTTGCGAAAGTGTGACTTCGCGTGCTACTTTCGTACTTAAAAGTTGCGATTTTCGAGCCCCGGCTGCGAAAGTTGACTTCGCGAAAGTGCCGCACGTGCCACAAAATCTTTACTTGACCTTGCGAAAGTGCTGCGCCTGCCACGAATTCTGCACTTGACCTTGCGAAAGTGCTGCGCCTGCCACGAAATCTGCACTTGACCTTGCGAAAGTGCTGCACCTGCCACGAATTCTGTACATGACCTTGCGAAAGTGCTGCGCCTATTCCGAAATCTGTACCTGACCTGTCGAAAGTGCTGCGCCTGCCACGAAATCTGTACCTGACCTTTCGATCGTGCCGCGCCTGCCACGAAATCTGCGCCTGACCGCTCGAAAGTGCTGCGCCTGCCACGCAATTCAAACCTAGGGAAAACTTGACCTTGCGAAAGTGTTGCGCGTGCCACGAAATCTGCGCCCGACCTCGCCAAAATGCTGCGCCTGCCACGCAATTCAATCCTTGCGAAACCTCTGTGTTGCCATGCCAATGGGCCCGGCGCCAAGGTTGCACAGGGCCACGCTTTTTGCGATTTCCTTATCTTCGAAAACGCCGATTCACGCACAGGGCCACGTTTTTTACGACTTTCTCTTCCCCTGCCACACGCGCGCGCATTTTTTCTCGATCCATCTCTCTCTCTCTCTCTCTCTCTCTCTATCTCTCGTGTATCTATCTATCTCTCTACCTATCTATCTATCTATCTATTTTTTCTCTATCTATCTCGCTCTCTCTCTCTCTCTCTCTATCTCTCTATCTATCTATCTATCTATCCATCTTTCTTTCCATCTATCTAGCATCTATCTCTCTGTTTTCTCTATCTTTCTCTATCTATCTATCTATCTAACCGTCTATCTATCTATACATCTATTTATTTCTTTTTGTTTGTCTATCTAGTCTATCTATCTATCTACCTATCTATCTATCGATCTGTACCTGAACTAGCGAAAGTGCTGTGCCTGCGACGAAATCTGTACTTGACCTTGCGAAAGTGCTGCGCCTGCCACGAAATCTGCCCTTGACCTTGCAAAAGTGCTGCGCCTGCCACGAAATCTGTGCCTGACCGTTCGAAAGTGCTGCGCCTGCCACGCAATTCAAACCTAGGGAAAACTTGACCTTGCGAAAGTGTTGCGCGTGCCACGAAATCTGCACCCGACCTCACGAAAATGCTGCGCCTGCCACGCAATTCAATCCTTGCGAAACCTCTGTGTTGCCGTGCCAATGGGCCCGGCGCCGACCCCCGCTCCGAGCCCGCTCCAAGCCCGCTCCGAGACCGCTCCAGCCAGACGCCGCGGACAGGCTAGCTTTCATATCTCCGCAAACGCCGATTCGCGCACAAGGCCATGCTTTTTGCAACTTTTTCATCTTTGAAATTGCGAAAGTGCTGCGCCTGCCACGAAATCTGCACTTGACCTTGCGAAAGTGCTGCGCCTGCCACGAAATCTGCACCTGAGCTTTCCAAAGTGCTGCGCCTGCCACGCAATTCAATCCTTGAGAAAAGTTGGCCTTGCGAAAGTGCTGCGCCTGCCACGAAATCTGCACCCGACCTCACGAAAATGCTGCGCCTGCTACGCAATTCAAACCTTGCGAAACCTCTGTGTTGCCGTGCCAATGGACCCGGCGCCGACCCCGCTCCAAGCCCGTTCCGAGATCGCTCCAGCCAGACGCCGCGGACAGGCTAGCTTTCGCATCTCCGCAGACGCCGATTCGCGCGCAAGGCCATGCCTTTTGCAATTTTTTAAATCTGTGAAATTGCGAAAGTGCTGCGCCTGCCACGAATGTGGCACTTGACCTTGCGAAAGTGCTGCGCCTGCCACGAAATCTGCACTTGACCTCGTGAAAGTGATGCGCCTGCCACGAAATCTGCGCCTGACCGCTCGAAAGTGCTGCGCCTGCCACGCAATTCAAACCTTGAGAAAAGTTGACCTTGCGAAAGTGCTGCGCCTGCCACGAATTCTGCACCCGACCTCACCAAAATGTTGCGCCTGCCACGCAATTCAAACCTTGCGAAACCTCTGTGTTGCCGTGCCAATGACCCCGCTCCGAGCCCGCTCCGAGACCGCTCCAGCCAGACGCCGCGGACAGGCTAGCTTTCGCATCTCCGCAAACGCCGATTCGCGCACAAGGCTATGCTTTTTGCAACTTTTTCATCTTTGAAATTGCGAAAGTGCTGCGCCTGCCACGAAATCTGCACTTGACCTTGCGAAAGTGCTGCGCCTGCCACGAAATCTGTACTTGACTTTGCGAAAGCGTTGCGCCTGCCACGAAATCTGCACCTGAGCTTTCGAAAGTGCTGCGCCTGCCACGCAGTTCAAACCTTGAGAAAAGTTGACCTCGCGAAAGTGCTGCGCCTGCCACGAAATCTGCACCCGACCTCACCAAAATGCTGCGACGCAATTCAATCCTTGCGAAACCTCTGCGTTGCCGTGCTAATGGACCCGGCGCCGACCCCGCTCCAAGCCCGCTCCAAGACCGCTCCAGCCAGACGCCGCGGACAGGCCAGCTTTCGCATCTCCGCAAACGCCGATTCGCGCACAGGGCCATGCTTTTTGCAACTTTTTCATCTTCGAAATTGCGAAAGTGCTGCGCCTGCCACGAATTTGGCACTTGACCTTGCGAAAGTGCTGCGCCTGCCACGAAATCTGCACTTGACCTTGTGAAAGTGCTGCGCCTGCCACGAAATCTGCACCTGAGCTTTCGAAAGTGCTGCGCCTGCCACGCAGTTCAAACCTTGAGAAAAGCTGACCTTGCGAAAGCGCTGCGCCTGCTACGAAATCTGCACCCGACCTCACGAAAATGCTGCGACGCAATTCAAACCTTGCGAAACCTCTGCGCTGCCGTGCCAATGGACCCGGCGCCGACCCCGCTCCGAGTCCGCTCCAAGTCCGAGACCGCTCCAGCCAGACGCTGCGGACAGGCTAGCTTTCGCATCTCCGCAAACGCCGATTTGCGCACAGGGCCACGCTTTTCGCAACTTTTTCATCTTTGAAATTGCGAAAGTGCTGCGCCTGCCACGAAATCTGCACCTGAGCTTTGGAAAGTGCTGCGCCTGCCACGCAATTCAAACCTTGCCCGCTCCGAGACCGCTCCGACCAGATGCCGCGGACAGGCTAGCTTTCGCATTTGCGGAGACGCCGATTCGCGCACAGGGCCACGTTTTTTGCGACTTTCTCATCTTCGAAAATGCCGATTCACGCACAGGGCCACGCTTTTTGCGACTTTCTCTTCCACTGCCACGCGCGCGCGCATTTTTTCTCGCGGGCTTATTCCTTCTTTTGTCATTTGTCTCAGAGAGCTAGCTTTCAATTAGTTGCCGTAATGCGGAAGTTCCTTCTAAACTTCCTTTGATTATTACTATTACCAGTAAAGCCGGCAAGCCGGGTGGCGGAAGTTTCAAAAATATAAAAACTATATAGTTCTCTTTCTCTTTCTTTACTCTTTTTCTCCGTCATTCTTCCTTTCTTCCTTTCTTTCCTTCCGTCCTCCCTTCTTTCCTTCTTTCTATCTGTCTTTTCTTTCTTTCTTTCGTTTGCTTGTCTATCTACCTTTCTCTACCTATCTATACCTAGCTACCTATCGATCTATCTCTCGTGTTATCTATCTATCTACTTATCTATCTATCTATCTCTCTATCTATCTTCTCTATCTATCTCTCTATCTCTTTATCTATATATTTACCTATCTCTCTATCTCTCTATCTATCCATCTCTCTATATCCGTCTATGTCTGTCTCTCTCTTTCTCTATCTGTCTCTCTATCCCTCTTTCTTTCTATCTTTCTATCCCTCTATCTCTCTTTCTTTCTATGTACTTATCTCTCTATCTCTTTCTCTCATCTCTTTATCTCTTTATCTACCTATCTATCTGTATTTCTATCTATCCATCTCTCTATCTACCTCTCTCTCTACCTATCTATCTATCTATCTATCTATCTACCTCTCTATCTATTTATCTATCTATCTATCTATCTATCCATCTATTTATTTTTCTATCTATCTACTTATCTATGCGTCTCTCTCTCTCTGTTTCTATCTATTCATCTATCTCTCTATCTATCTATCATAACGCACACTATTTTCCAACTCAAAGGCATACGGGAGCCTGGAGTGTGAGCTCCAGCTGATCACTGGCCACATGTGTGGCGAGGCGCTGGCGGACGCGTGGGAGATCTTGGCCTCATCGCCGGTCGATTTCAACCAGCCAATCGATATTGAGGTGTCGGCGATGTACCGCGACACGTTCAGGCGGTTGCTGGTTCTGCTGGACGTGATGCAGATGCGCATCAATTCGATTTTGTTGCCTCCCCGCCATAACACATGAGCCTGACTGGAGTCTGATTCGACTGGAGTTGAAAAATAGAGCGCGCTTGATTTCATGTTCTTGCATTGATGCAGCATCAAGGACCTAGACATAAATGCCCCATTCTTTTCAATCATACATCGCTCTCTTCAGAAGCCACCGGTCTTCCCAAGGGTTTGCCCATTTGGAGGACACACGGATCCCGGAACGGCTAGAACCAAATTGAGCCAGCCAACTTTAAACTTTTGTGATTGACTGATCTTGCCTGCAGGCGCGATGGCAAGTGCTGGTCTCGGCTGGTGGCAACACCATGATTTGCTCGATGAGCTCAGCGAGACACAGATTTGAGTCAATGCGCAAACCGCTTGGGAGGGCCTGCCTGTTCTTCCCGGCGCTGATGCTGGTTTCAGTGGGGGGCTCACTTGACTGATCTTAAAAATGCAGATTCGTCATGTGTGCAAGGAACAGATCAGCAAAGAGCGGCACGCCAAGGCAGGCTTTGGTTGCTTGATTGGTTCAGTGACTGATTGATTGCGCAGGCTGAGGGCAGGGCGATGAAGGACTTCCTGATGAAGGTCGACACGGAAATGGCCCTGTGCTGACCTCAGAGTTGGCTCGGTGGCATGAATGTGTCTGCATTCTTCGTCAGGCAGCTCGCCGCTCTGGCAGACGCCACAGACGAGCACATGGCAATCGTCCGGGCTGCTGACAGTGAGGACCTTGATGCTGTGCAGTTCAAGGAAACGTGCTCGGCCTTCCTCATGAACATCCACTACCTTTTCCACAAGGCACGGCTGTGGACAGCGCCTCACACCTACGCGGCTGCCATGCTGCACCCTGACTGCGCGATGTGGCATGTTTTTTACAACACTCTCAAATCCGAACCCTGTCACTTGAGGACGTGGCTGAAGAAAGAGCCGCTGCTCATCAATGTGGATGGCCGCCTCAAGCAGTTCGGCGGTGATCTGATCACGGAAGAGATGCAGAAGCGGGTCACTGCGCGGATTCTGGATGCAATTGGTTCATGACAGGATTTGAGTTTGCCTCAAAGCAGTACCCAAAACAGTTTGTTTCCCTTTGGTTGGGAACGAAACACACCCAATTCATTCCCTTTCTTCACGAATTAAGGATGTGCAACTGGGCCACCTTGGCAGAAGAAGTTTTGAAGGCAGAGCTGCCAAGCTTCGAGCCGTGGACTCGATGTCGGCGCTGCTCCAGCTCGAGAGAGGTCCGCCTGAGGCGAGACTTCGTGCTGCAGCAGCTGTGTTGGGGAGGCGTCTTGATTTGCCCCAGGCCGCAGCCTTAGTTTCACAAGCTTTTTTCTTTGAAAAGTAACGAATTGAGAAACCTGAGGCCCCTGATTTCAATACATGGACCCCAATGGCCATAGGGAAAAACACTGTGTTTAGTGGTTGTGTTGAAAGAAAACCTTTGCTGAGGGCCTTCTCTTGAATCAAGCCCTCTACGCAAAGCCGCTGGCCATGGGGCTCATGAAGAACAATGGAACGCGGCCACTCGAAGCTTGGGCTCTGGCTGCTCCTTGCCTGCATCGTGCGTCACTCTGGTGCCTCGGCTGTTTCAGCTTAGGTTAAAAAAGAGCAACGACGTGGCCGACGTTTGAACATATCTATCTGTCTGTTTATCGTTTATCTATCTATATATTTTTCTCTCTATTTATTTATCCCTCTATCTATCTATCTATCTATCTATCTATCTATCCCTTTTTCTTTCTATTTATATATCTCTCTATCTCTCTCTCTCTCTCTATCTCTTTCTCTGTCTATCTATCTTTCTCTCTCTCTCTCTCTCTATCTATCTATCTCTCTCTCTATCTCTTTATCTCTCTCTCTCTCTTTGTCTATTTATCTATCTATCTTGCTCTCTGTCTCTCTCTATCTATCTATCTATCTATCTATCTATCTATCTATCTATCTATCTCTTTCTCTATCTCTTTCTATCTTGACTTCGCGTACTACTTTCGTACTTAAAAGTTGTGATTTTCGAGCCCCACTGCGAAAGTGGACTTCACGTACTACTTTCGTACTTAACAGTTGCGATTTTCAAGCCCCAGCTGCGAAAGTGGACTTCACGTACTACTTTCGTACTTAAAAGTTGCGATTTTCGAGCCCCAGCTGCGAAGGTTGACTTCGCGTACTACTTTTGTACTTAAGAGTTGCGATTTTCGAGCCCCGGCTGCGAAAGTTGACCTTGCGAAAGTGCTGCGCGTGCCACGAAATCTTTGCTTGCGAATTCTGCACTTGACCTTGTGAAAGTGCTGCACCTGCCACGAAATATGCACATGACCTTGTGAAAGTGCTGCGCCTGCCACGAAATCTGTGCTTGACCTTGCGAAAGTGCTGCGCGTGCCACGAAATATCTGCTTGACCTTGCGAAAGTTCTGCGCCTGCCACGAATTCTGCACTTGACCTTGCGAAGGTGCTGCACCTGCCACGAAATATGTACATGACCTTGTGAAAGTGCTGCGCCTGCCACGAAATATGTACATGACCTTGTGAAAGTGCTGTGCCTGCCACGAGATATGCGCGTGACCCTGCGGAAATGCTGCCCCTGCCACGAAATATGTACTTGACCCTGCGACAAGGACGCCCCTGCCACGAAATCTGTTCTTGACCTCGCGAAAAAGGCTGCCCCTGCCACGAAATCTGCATGCGCCGCCTTGCGCGTCCGTGCCAATGGGATTTGCGATGCGTCCGTGCCAGAAGTAAGAAAATGCCGCGCCTGTCACCAAATCTGCACTTGACCTTGCGAAAGTGATGCACTTGCCACGAAATCTGTACCCGACCTTGCCAAACACGAATTTGAACCTGGCGAAAGTGTGCGCGTCCGTGCCAATGGTCCCGGCGCGAGCTTCTATTCCCCCGCCACACGTATACGCACGTTTTCTCGCATGCATTCATTCTTTCTTCATCTCATCTTTGCGCAGAGCTACCTTTCAATTAGTTTCCGTAACTCGGAAGTTTCCTTCTAAACTTCCTTTGATTATTAGTAGTAGTAGTATTACCAGTAAAGCCGGCAAGCCGGGTGGCGGAAGTTTCAAAAATATAAAAACTATAGTTATCTTTCTCTTTCTTTTCGTCTATCTATCTTTCTCTACCTATCTATACCTAACTACCTGTCTATCTATCTCTCGTGTTATCTATCTATCTACTTATCTATCTATCTATCTATCTTCTCTATCCATCTCTCTATCTCTCTATCTATCTCTCTATCTCTCTATCTATCCATCTCTCTATATCCCTCTATCTGTGTCTCTCTCTTTCTCTATCTGTCTCTCTATCTATCTCTCTATCTCTCTTTCTTTCTATCTATTTATCTCTCTATCTCTTTCTTTATCTCTTTCTATCTATCTATCTATCCATCTATCTCCCGCGTATCTATCTATCTATTTATCTATCTATCTATCTGTCTATCTCTCTATCTATCTATCTCTATATCTCTCTGTCTACCTATCTATCCATCTCTCTTTCTCTATCTGTCCATCTCTCTATCTATCTATCTATCTATCTATCTATCTATCTATCTATCTATCTATCTATTATCTGTCTTTCTATTTCATTATCTCACGTGTATGTATCAATCTCTTTATCTCTCTATCTATCCATCTGTATTTCTAATTATCTATAGATCTACCTATCTATCCATCTCTCTATCTACCTCTCTCTCTCTGCCTATCCATCCATCTATCTACTTCTCTATCTATTTACCTATCTATCTATCTATCCATCTATTTATTTCTCTATCTATCTACCTATCTATCTATCTCTCTCAATCTCTGCTTCTATCTATTCATCTATCTCTCTATTTGTCTGTTTAATCTATCTATCTATCTATCTAGCTATCTACCTATCTCTTTTTCTTTCTATTTATATATCTCTCTATCTTTCTCTCTCTCTATCTATCTATCTATCTATCTATCTCTCTCTCTATCAATCTATCTATCTCTCTATCTCTTTATGTCTCTCTCTCTGTCTATTTATCTATCTATCTTGCTCTCTTTCTCTCTCTATCTATCTATCTATCTATCTATCTCTTTCTCTTTCTCTTTCTATCTTGACTTCGCGTACTACTTTCGTACTTAAAAGTTGCGATTTTCGAGCCCCACTGCGAAAGTGGACTTCAGGTACTACTTTCGTACTTAAAAGTTGCGATTTTCAAGCCCCAGCTGCGAAAGTTGACTTCACGTACTACTTTCGTACTTAAAAGTTGCGATTTTCGAGCCCCAGCTACCAAATTGGACTTCGCGTACTACTTTCGTACTTAAAAGTTGCGATTTTCAAGCCCGGCTGCGAAAGTGGACTTCGCGCACTACTTTCGCACTTAAAAGTTGCGAGTGTCAAGCCCCAGCTGCGAAAGTTGACTTCGCTTACTACTTGCGCACTTAAAAGTTGCGATTTCTGAGCCCCGGCTGCGAAAGTTGACCTTGCAAAAGTGCTGCGCCTGCCACGAGTTCTGCACCTGCCACGAAATATGTACATGACCTTGTGAAAGTGCTGCGCCTGCCATGAAATATGCGCGTGACCCTGCGGAAATGCTGCCCCTGCCACGAAATATGTACTTGACCCTGCGACAATGACGCCCCTGCCACGAAATCTGGTCCTGACCTCGCGAAAATGCTGCCCCTGCCACGAAATCTGCATGCGCCGCCTTGCGCGTCCGTGCCAATGGGATTTGCGATGCGTCCGTGCCAGAAGTAAGAAAATGCCGCGCCTGTCACCAAATCTGCACTTGACCTTGCGAAAGTGATGCACCTGCCACGAAATCTGTACCCGACCTTGCCAAAATGCTGCGCCTGCCACGAAATTTGAACCTGGCGAAAGTGTGCGCGTCCGTGCCAATGGTCCCGGCGCGGGCCCGTCCCGAGCCCGTCCCGAGCCCGTCCCGAGACCGTCTCCGTCAGACGCCGCGACCGCAGAGGGTTGCACTTTTTGCAGATTTCTATTCCCCCGCCACACGTATACGCACGTTTTCTCGCATGCATTCATTCTTTCTTCATCTCATCTTTGCGCAGAGCTACCTTTCAATTAGTTTCCGTAACTCGGAAGTTTCCTTCTAAACTTCCCTTGATTATTATAGTTTGCTTTTTTTGGCGGTCCCCTTTTTTCTCCACTCACCAAGCAAAACTCTGCTGCTATTGGGTTGGATCTTTAGACTTTAACTTTTTTGATTTCCGTTATATTTCCTCTTAACCTGCAAAAAGTTAAGCTTTTTGCTGGGGGATCTACAGCACCCAAGAAAAATACAGATGTTTGCTGGGGTCCAAATTCCACGACCAGAGCCAACCAGTGTTTGTCCGCTGTTCCAGGCTCCGAAGCCTATTTCAACGAAGTACTTCCTGGGGAAAAAAACATTTATACGCATAGTCAAGTGGCAGCCGATGCGTATGCCAGTCGAGCACCCAGTCTTGAGCACCCCGAAGGTACCTCCCGGTGGCATTTTTGTTCATAACTTGAGGGATAATTCCCAAGGAATCCAGGAACCCGCTCACAGCAGATCCCAACAAGTTTGCCCGAGCCCAGTCTTTGTGACCAGAGGAATTGGGTCGGCTTCCATTGGACTGCTCTGAGAGACCAAGCCGCGACTGTGCCCCCAAAACTGGATCAACGGTTGAATGATGGCCGCAGCTCCGCTCAATTTTGGTGGTCTGTTTCCCAAACCGTTGTTTCAACTCAGGTGCCTGCTAGAGTTGCCACACAGCAGAGCAGTACTCCCAGGAAAGCGGTCAGAAAACCGCTGCTTGCAGCTTTCTACTTCCTTCTATGTCAGCCTTGTCAGGAAGCATTTTGTGGAACATGGAGAGGTCTGCACGAAGGCCAATGACAAATTCAATCTTCTGGCTTCGAGGGCAGCTGGCTCGCTCCTGTTGAGACACGGCCCAGGTCTACTTTGGAAAGAGGGTAAAATTGTGTAAACAGAAGTCAAAAAGATCACCGACATTCTTGGTGATGCGTTTCTTGAAGGATTCCAGATTCAG